ATTGCAGCAAAATTTACCTGGGCAACACATATACTGGATGTAGTGAGCAGTTGCCGCCATTTTTCCTTCCTCATCTCCGGACGCTTTCCTCGCTTCAGCACTCTCACCGGATATTCACTTTTTCAGTGCCCAAAAGTCTGCCTATCCTTTGTTCCTGAGTGCTAACACTGCTTCTTGTGTTGTAAATTTTCACCATTGCATAACAAGATCTTTTGTCGGTGTATAGATGTCTGAATTGCGTTGCACCACTAGTAGGATGACCTCAGGTAGCACGACATGCTACCTTCACTGACCTCATCTGAGTAATTTTTCCTCCTCTTCTCCTTACCAATTTCCAAAATTTCTACAGCAGCTGTTCATTTCATCTCACGTGCCCTTATATCTGGATAATGATGCAAACAAATCGCATAAGACGATCTCGTTACGCAAAAAGTTCATTTGCGGAAAGCTTATGATAACGAAGCTGCACCGAATAAAATCTAGCTTCTATAGAAAACCAATCCGAATCGAATGTGAAGCTTGCAATTTCCTTTTTTCTGTAGTAATCTTATCAAAAGGTGCGCAGTTCAGGATCGAAAGCCCTGATACAGCCCAACTTGGCGTTTGAGAACATCTCAGTAGCGACAATAACATTCACTACCTTACCTGCGATGAGTTAGACTGGCAGAAACTAAAATCCTATACTTTTGCAAAAGTGGCCGATTATGTTCGTCCAACATCCCTGGACTGTACACTCATCTAGCTGTTCAATCACATCAGTTTGTGACTTTCACACGATTGGCCTAACTTTTGCTTTATTTTTCACAAGCAATTTGCTTCAGAAGTTCTTAGCCATATCTTCTGAAACTACACTTTTCGAAACGGAGGTACACTTGTTTGAGCTGTGAAGCTACTTTTACTCGTCCTATGTGGATGATAGAGATAAGACGCGACACATGGCCAAATATTACAAGAGAAAGCGATGAAAGGTACAAATTAAACGAAAATTTACGAGTTCATGGACATCGTATTCTAACAGGAAACATCATCCTGAAATTTCAGCTTCTTAACTTTACTATTGCCCTGATTCGTGCTTTTCATGACAGAATTTTTTCTACTAGTGAGAAACGAATGTTCAAGAAAGTTAAAGTCACATTTCTTAGGGTCGAATTTTGTCGGGAACACACTGGCAAAACTCCAGCATTTAAATTCACTTATTTACTGAGCTGAGATACCTGGACAGATGAACACGCACATACACACACATGGACTGTTCCTTTCAGATTCAGATTTATCGCTGCAACAAGCTCAGATTATGCTGCTTATCTATCAACCTCTACGGCACACTTTGTCGTATTTGGATCAGTTTTCGCAAATACCGTCCTCAAATGATACACCGCAGTAGCAGAGCTGTGTGCTTTAGTGCTGCCAATTCCCAAGTTGTTATGCATAAGCATATTGCGATTGATGGACCGTTCAGCACTTGTACACAGCTGACTTCAACAATCTTTTATCTCAAGTTCACATTACTTGTGATATGGACTACTTCACAGTTCACGAGTGCTAGAAAGGGATATAACGGTTCAGCAGAACTCGCCGTTCGTTTGGCAAATTCTTTACGACCTATTTTACATTTAAAAGGGGTTCGGACGATGCCCTGCTCTTGCCGATTACGTTAAATTTAGTAGTCATATCTAAATAGGTTCAGGGTGCCAGTGTAGAAATTACTGCAGCTCCATCATTGCCGACTTGTCAATTATAA